CCAACTCCCATTTTTTTTATACAAACAGGCACAGAAAGCTTCCTAAAATCATATTCATAGTTAATCAGTAACTGACAGGTTTCTCTTTTTACTGTTCTGTTTCTGGCTCCAGGTTCAGTTCCGGGCAATTTGTCTTTGAATGCAAAGTCGAGAGGGCAAGGATTGTTAAGTGTCTTTTTTTTTCCCTTCTGGTGCTGCATGAATTAAATGTTTAATAAGGGTTTGCTGATGTTGGCTCAACGCAGTCTGCTCCTGAAGCCCACAAAAGGCTCATGACTGCATGGAACAGGAAGCCCTAGGATTTGATTAAACAAACAAGACTCACTTTCCCCCAACTCTCATTGCTTGTTTTTTCCATTCTTCAGAGAGCGGCAGCCTTCTTTCCACAACTGTTTTCCTTCTGTGCCTACAGAGCTCAGGAAGCCATTGCTCCTACAGGAAATCTACTACATCTTGATATGCCCCCAGTTTACAAAGTCTTGAGAGTCCTGGCATCTTCTAAAGCCTCGGCCTCACCATTGCACGTCTTGGAGAGGATATACCCTTAATAAAAAAACTGGCTACTTTCCAAAGTGGCTAGTTTTACAGTGTTTCATCTGCCATTTTTTTTTTCTTTTTTCAACAGAGAATGGCCTGAATTTTATTTTAAAGTCTTGGAATTAATATGCAATCACAGGCCATACGGTCATACTGCCGTAAAGGCAGACAACTCTGATTTAATTTTGCCAGACCCGAGGATAAGCTAATCCTGGGCTGGGAGGTCACAGCTTTCACCAAGAAGGCCATATGATATGGTGAAAGAGCCTTCAGTTTGGAGTCCAAAGGACTGGGTTTGAATCCCTGCTCGGACACTTCATGCAGTGGAAAGACTAGATAGAGAGTCAAAGGGCTTTTCAGATACCACTATATGTATCCTGGAGCAAGTCATATTACTTCTCTAGCCCTCAGTTTCTTCATCTGTAAAATAAAGGGGTTGGATGAGATGGTATCTAAGGTCTCTTCTAGTTCTAAAGCGGGGATCTCATCATTCCATTTGTGTGACCTTGGGCGTCACTTGAGGAATGCATGATGTAAGCTACAAAGGAAGCAGAAGCCATTGTGCTCATCGTCAGTCTTTATAACAAGTTCAAATCTGAGTTCAAATCAGGTCTGAGACACTCACTAGCTGGGTGACCCTAGGCAAGTCATTGAATTGTGTTGGCCTCAGTTTCTTCATCTGTAAAATGAGCTGGAGAAGGAAAAGGCAAATCACTCCGGTATTTTTGCCATGAAAACCTGAATGGAGTCATGAAGAGTCAGATACTACTGAAAAATGACTGAACAACAAGATTTGAAAAAGGGCTTTCCCAACAACCCACCTAGGATCATAGTACCAGGTTAAAGTGTCAGAGAGGACTTACCCCTGGGGCACAAAGCTATGAAGTGTTAAAGCTGGGACTCTAACCCAGATCTCTTGACTCCCACATACTGTTCACTTCAACGTGTTATCTCTAAGATTTGACCACAGTCCAAACCTAAACATTAGAGAAGGAAGAGCTTGGGCTGGATTATTTGAAGAGCACTCCTAGAGGAGTTGAGAGATATCGGGTTCTAATTAGGAGGCTAAGAGGTCTTTGCGTAAATCAACCTCTAAAGCCTGTTTCATCATCCATACACTGGAGACGGCACACAAGCACCGCCCACCTCAGCTTTGGGTTGTGGTTTGTTGTTTTCTTTTGTTTTTTAAGCTTTGTGCATTATTTACCTCTGTGTATGTTTTTTCATGAGTAGAACAGAAACTTCTCGAGGGTAGGGACAGTTTTTATTTTCATCTTTGTATCTCTAGCACCAAACCAGTGCTTGGCATATAGAAGATGTATAAGTCTCCTCGAACTGAATTCCTGGTACTATCAGACTGAACTCTGTTCCGAGGAGTCTACCGGGACAGAGAGAGCTTATTTGTTAAATAATGCCAATTCCGTAGCCTCTGTTTATTCTCAATAGGGATGCCTTCTAGTCTTGACTCTGGGGCTTCTCAATGCTTAAACCTTGGTGGGAAGCAGAGCCATAACTAGGAATGCTTAGGCCCTGGGCAAATTCAATTGGGGGTGGGGTGGTGTAGGGAATGGTACCACAAAGGAATCTTCCCACAGCAGGAGAATAGACCCATCTCTCAAGAGTTGAATCCTGGGAGTAATAATAATATTTATATAGTGCCAAATATGTGTCAGGCAGTATACTAAGTGCTTTGCAATTATTATCTCATTTTGTCCTCACAACAACCCTGGGGGGGGTGCTATTATGACCCCCATTCTACAGATGAGGAAACTGAGGCAAACAGGGGCAAAGTGACTTGCCCAGGATGATCCAGCTAGTGTCTGAGGCTGGATATGAACTCAGATCTTCCTGACTCCAGGCCCAGCACTCTATCTATTGTACCACCCAGCTGCCCCTAAACTGTCTCCCTCCCCCCCCAATTTTTCCCCAGCCCCATCCTCTAGCTGAACTGTTTTTGTTACAAATACAGCTATTTCTCCAGTTTTATGGTTGGGATGAAGTTTGGGGATCAAAGCCAACCTCATTTTAAACGAGGAAACTCTTAACAGGTTCCCTTCATCTGTGTCCAGCTGCTATTTCCAGAATGGGAGCTGATAGAGCACCTGATGGGGAGACACCATGGGACAGGGAAGAGAGTACTGGGCTAGAAGTCAAGATGATCTAGGACCAGGAGTGGGGAACCTGCGGCCTCGAGGCCACTTGTGGCCTTCTAGGTCCTTGGGTGCAGTCCTTTGACTGAATTCAAACCTCACAGAACAAATCTCCTTAATAAAAGGATTTGTTCAACAAAACTTCACAGCACAAATCCCCTTAATAAAAGATTTTTTTGTAAAACTTGAGATTTAGTCAAAAGGCCACACCCAAGAGATCTAGGGCTTTTTGTAGTGACCTCTTGCCACAGGTTCAAGGTTATCAGCTTCCCTCCCTCCCCCCCCCCCGGTGACCCATGCCTGGGATGAGCCTTTCTCTTTCTCCTGTTCCCCTTCTGAATTCCAACTCAGAGCCCCAGCCTTCCTTCCCTGTTGGCCCTGACAAAGTACTCTGGGTACCCCTCTCTGATGCAGTTATTGAACCATGTCTACAGTTATTTGCATGGATGCCTAGTGCTTCCCCTCATCTGTGAGCTCTAGTCTTTGGAGATCCCCCAGGTCCCAGCTCAGTGCTATCTTTATATGATGTACTCAAAATGACAACTAAATGCTGGCCTGGATACAAATGGGAAAAAATTAACGTGTGTGTGTGTCTAGGTGGGAAGTAGGTAAAACATTGCACGTCGGTTTTGGAACACTGTAACCAATACTTTCCACTAAAGTTTCAAGACGTTGTCACTGTTTTTTAAAAGGGTCTCTAGGCTCAGTTCTTGGACATGCCATTTCCTAGCAGACACACTGCTTCTGGACTTCCTACGACTTTCTCCATCACATCCCTTCCCCTGATATCTTCTTCCCCTTCCTTTTGGGCGTTGACTGTCTCCATTAGATTATAAACTCCTTGAGGGCAGGAATTTTATTTTTATTCCTATTTGCATCCCTAGTGCTCAGCACAACGTCTGGCACGTAGTAGGTTCATAATAATGTTTGTTGGCTGACTCTCCCCTTACACGGCTACCATCTTAGTTCAGGCCATCGACCCTCTAGTTTGGACCACTGCACATTTCTTAACTGGCATCCCTGCCTTGAGTCACTATTCAGATTCATCTTTCATAAAGGTATCGAAGTGATTTTCCTAAAGCACAGGTCTGCACATATCATTTCCTTAATTTTTTTTTTTTTAGCGAAGCAGTTGGGGTTAAGTGACCTGCCCAGAGTCACACAGGTAGTGAGTGTTATGTGTCTGAGGCCAGATTTGAACTCAAGTCCTCCTGACTCCAGGGCCAGTGCTCTATCTACTGTGCCACCCAGCTGCCCCTATCATTTCCTTTCTTAGTAAACTGCAGTAGCTCGCTATTACCTTGAGGATCAGTCACAAATTCCTCCATTTGGCACATCGGCCTCTTCACAATCTACCATTCCAGACTTACTGCACAGAAATCTTCTCTAATCCAGTGAAAGTGGCCTTTTTCTGTTTCTCACCCATGGCACTCCATGCTCTGACCCCATGCCTTAAGGTTATACTTCCCTACTCTCCTCCCCTCTCCCCCTCTCAAAAGACCTACTTTCCTTCAAGACTTGAGTTCTTTTTACATGAAGCCTCTCCTGATTCCCCTGGCTGCTATGCTCTCCCTTGCCAAATCACCCTGCATCTGTTTTGCTAACACCTATCCATATACATGTCAAGATGTAAGCTCCTTACTGTTACGGAGGGGATTGTTTCATTTCCATTTTGTTTTTGGCACCTGAAATGGGGCCTGGCACACCACAGATGCTTATTAAATGTTTGCTAGTTGATCACTCAACCTTGTTCTAGGTCACACCGGGAGAGAAGCACAGAATACCCTGATATTCAGGGCCCTCATTCTAGTACCTGAATCATCTTCTCTCAGGTACACTCTAAGGGGGCTGCCCTGAAGCTTCGAAGCCCCAAGTCCTTTGAGAGTGATTGTTATGGAGAGATGGCAGGCTCACATCTCTTCTCCTCACCCCAACAGGACTCAATGTTCCTCCAACAAACATAATGGTGAAATAGGTGGAAATGCCTTAACTTCAATTGCTCTCACAGTTATCCAAAGCTCCAAAATTTTTTGTTTACAATTAAGACAAAATGGCCTTTTGCTTTTGGGCACCCAGGAAGGAATCCAGCCCCTACAAGCCAGTCTAGTGGGGACAAGCCTGTCCACTCTTAGCCACAAGCACAATCAGGGAGTCGGAAGCCTATGCTGGCTGGAAGGATCTGCCAGATCTTCTGCCCCAATGGCACAGTCCGGAAGAACCAAGGTCAACGCCATGCCATGAACCGAGGAGGGCTTTCAATATAATAATAATAATAATAATAATAATAATAACAATAATAATAAATGAAAACTATTCTCTCCATAGTTCCTTTTTATTTGTTAAATTGCTAAAAATTCATCAGGGGGAAACATTAACATAAAATGAAATTGACACAGATTTAAATACCAATGAAATCATTCCTACACTTGTGTGCCTAAAATGACTATTCCAGGGTAAGCTCTACCAGAGCTCAGGCTGTATGCACTGCCAGAACCCTGGCTGGCAAGAGCGGAGTGCAAGGGGCAGAGGAGTCACCACCAACACTCCTCTTCCCTTTCACAATGAACCACTGTGGGAGTCATTTACTGGTAACCCTGCAGAACATGCCTTCTGCAACACATGGTGGGAAGAAGTCGGGAAGGAGCAGAGCAGGAGACAGGAAGAAGGAAGTCCTGGCTTCTGCCAATTTGGGCTGGGGGTTGTTGTGACTCTTTCAGCTGACTTACGAGCTGGTTAAGAGACCACACAGGATGCAAAGCAGCGTACATCACCATGCCTGGATCACCACAGGGACGAGGACAGATGGAACATCACTTGGAAGGGGAAGGGAAGAAGCAAAGCAGAAAGAGACTGAGAGAGACAGGTAAGGGGAAGGTATTCATTCTCCACTTACTATAAGCCTTTTGTAGTCAAAGGTCACTGACCCTTCAAGTTAATAAAACAAAATGTAAAGGTCTCGATGTCATTCTTAGATTACTTTTGATAGGTTCATCTTCTGTTGTAAAGCTTAAGAATCCAAAAATGAAGTTATGCAAACAGAAGCCTGGGATAATGGTAAGTCCAGCTTTGCCTTAAAAGAAAAAAAGGGGGGGAGGGGAAAGGGGAATCCTGTTTCTGTGTAGACATATTCTATGCTCTCCCCAAAGAGGCAAAACTCCCACCCCACCTATTTGGAAGAGCATTGGAGATGTGCAGCCAAGCCTTCCCGCCCTCACCCCTCTTCCCGAAACCCACGCCGTGTAGTGTATATCAAGTGGGATGACAGAATTTTCAGTCCTGTCCATGGGAGGGTGGGAACATACTCAAAATCTTGCTACAGAGTCAATGAGGTGAATTTCAAAGTCAATGCAATGCCGGGAATCTTGAAGGCACTCTTGCAGGAATGGAAGGGGTTAAAGCTTCAAGTATAGCTTCAAATTTATCTTAAATATTTAAATACTGATAAATACTCATTTTAGGCGCTCCTGAGGTGTGTTTAAAAATAAGTTTTGTCTCATTTTTCTCGGTTGATCTTAAGACAAAATTGGCGCAGAGAGTATTGAGACAGAGTGACGGTGATGTCTCATCTAGCTGAGACTCTGTCCAATGCACCACGGAAACACTCGCCTCGGCTCATCCGAGCATGTGGCTTTCAGGTGGTCCTGAGGAGACAACCATCTTGGTTAGGTCGGCTTTCTGTCCACACTGTCCAGCTTGACCAGGCTCAAGTTTCTTGACCAGCCCCTGATGATACTTGGCAATGGTGCCGTTGGAGTTTGGTGGCAACCAGATCAAAGGAACATTAAGCAGGTGTCACCTAGCCAATACCACGACTGATGTGTGGGGACCAGGAAGATGACTTGAAGAGCTGTAAACAAATGCTGGGTTTTGTTTTGGATTATGTGTGCAACACTGTATGCCCTCAGATTCCAAAGGTATCTGAGAGAACTGTCTGGGGCAGCAGAAACACACACACACACACACACCTACCCCTCCTTTGCCTCCTCTCTGAGGAGACACACACACACACACACACACACACACACCCCTACCCTTCCTCTGCCTCTTCTCTGAGGACACACACACACACACACACACACACACACACGTGCGCATGCGCGCATACCCCTACCCCTCCTTTGCCTCCTCTCTGAGGATATAGGAGCAATGATGACCAGTTAGAAAGTCAATAGAGCAGAATTATGGGGTTTCTTTTCAAGGTGTGATTTCAACCCTTCATGGAGATTCCTGCCCAACCCCCACCCCACCCCACCCCACTCCTTATCTTCTAGATGCTTAATTACGTTTAAATAGGAACTGGGTGTGGAGACAACTGCTCACAAACACAATGTCATGGATAAAGCTGCTCTCTATTAAGTAACCATGGCTAAATTACTATTCTTCTAGTATATATTTTCAGGTTGACTGGAGAGCCCATACAACCTAACAGTCCTTGCCAAATGGGAACTGGAAAAAGCCCCTCCCCAGGTTATGTGGGGGAGATGCATGCTGAGCTTTAATGAGTCAGGTAATACAGTAAGTAGGCACGTGAGTGAGGATTACTCAGTCAGGATGGAACAGCTTCTCAGACACGTCCCGCTGATGGGAACCGGCTCCTAATGGGACTTGGCAACAGCAGAGCTTTTCTACCAACACCAGACATTACAGGTTGGGGGAGCAGTGAGAATGGAAGATTCTGCACACTGTACCAGGAGAAAAGAAAGAACCCTTTTTCATCAAATAAATTCCAAGGGTTGGCTAAAAACCAAGCCTCCAGAACTAGCAGAAATCAAGTCTCTTTTATCACTTGCATTTGGGAAACTTCAATAAGACTGAGGGGAGGAGGGGCAACTTTTCATTTAAAAAAAAATCATACTTGAATGTTAAAAATCACCAATAATCACAATTAAGTGATCAGCCTGATACCTGCTAATGCCATTAGAGTTCGGTTTTTGCCAGTATTTCCTGTGTCCTGGCCATGGTTTTGGAGACTGCCCGAATATCTCATCTATTCGGAACAACTTATCTCAGAAAAGAATGAGACAAATACCCAAGCTGCATGGGACGGATGCTGGCGTTGTCTGCACGACTGTGGTGGACAGAGCCTCCTAGCCAGGTCAGAGATGGCTTCACCAGACTCCACAACTTGAACTGAATCTCTTGACTGATGGCAAACCAGCGAACACAGATGCAGAAAGGACCAAAATGATCTCTGGGAAAAGGACCCTTTCCTATCCATCTAATAAGACAAACCCTTTCTGAGGATGAGAAATATCTGCCCTCCAACTTCTTATATCCTTTACAAATGTGGTTGCATATTTCTGATGCTCACTGGCAGAAAAAAAAATGTGTAGAAGAGAAAGCAATTTTAAGGTGCTAAAAATATCTTATGTGTAAAGCCTCGGATGATTCAAAAGCATCTTTGAATTCTCCACTGGTTTGCTAAGGATGCTGGGAAAAGTCAAGCTCCCCAAATATTTCTGACAAGGACGTGATCGTTTCAGGATTCCAAGCCTCATTTTACTTTCATCTGCAAAGTGTTGAAGGGTAGGGCTTTAAACAACCCCAAACATCCACATTTGCACTGAAATCCTACAAGAAGGAAAAGCAGATTCCACAAGATGACATTTAAGGGGGAGCAAGTGAAGGGGACGTGGGTTTTGGCAGCTCCCAACCAAATGGGATAGTCAGAGATTTCAGAATCAGAAACAGATGTTTTAGCCCTACTCCTTCCAACCAGGGCAGGCCCTGTGGCCTGGGCACAAGCACACCAGTTCGTGATGATCCTGGCACAGACATGGAACAGCTTCCCCTCCTCACTCTCTTCTCCCTTTCTCACCATCATTCCTCCTCTACTAGCTTCTCTGCAGACCCTGGGTCTGGCCCTGCATGCACTGATCTCTCAGGGGACCTGAGCTCATGGGCACCCCCTCCTGCACCTCTTCTTACCTGCCACTCTTCAGTTCTCTTGGCAGGGAACTGAGATTAGGTGATCTGTTCCCTAAATTCTTGGTCTAATTACCAGCAGAATAGAAAAAGGCAGAAGAGCCTCTGCTAAAACACAGCAACAGTTTTATCTGAACCAGCACGGAGATTGCTCCCCTTTTGTAAACAGAGTTGGCTATAGAATATAGATATAGATATAGATATAGATATAGATATTTGATATAATTTGTTTTTAAATGGGGATCTGACCCTAGCCCAGAGCGAGCATTAGATTGGGAATTGGGGTTTTGGTTTGTGGGGCTACTTAATTCTTTGTTTGCCCAATTCACAGTTTGAATGCCTGCATGACAGTGTAAAATTCAAAATTAAAAGCCACAGAAAGGAAAAAGGTTGGAAGCAAGTTTTTGCCATATTATCTTTTTGCTCGCACAAAGTACAAGGCATTTGTTTTGGGATAGTACTTCACATTCTGTTTCTTGTCCATGAGGCCACCAAAAATGATGAGTTCCCCTCTGCCTTGCACCACTGTGTGCAGACTGGTCTCGGGCGGGCCAACCACAGAACTGCTGTTAAATAGTTTCCACTTGACCCGCCCTTTCTCCTTGGTGTCTTTAATGTCTAACACGTACATCTGCATGGGCTTGCAGTTCACACTCTGGTACAAGGGCTTGCCAACGTTCAGAGACTGTGGCGGATGATGGCCCAAGCGCCGGGCGATGGCAGGTAAGGAGTGCCCGTCACCCTGGGCGGGCCCAGGGCGCGGGATGGGCACCGCCTCAACGCCGCTCACGCTCTGGCTCCCTGGGGACCCAGGGGAAGACACCAGTGGGGGACTCAGTGCTGCAGGGGCAGGTGGGCCCTTAGAGGAAAGGGCTCTGACAGCTTCCAGGCTCCGTCGGAGAGCGCCTGGGGACACAGCTCCCGTGAGAGTGCTGGCCATGTGGGGAGGTGTGTGAACCCCATTTGTCTGCTCTGGAGGATTCCTCACGCTCCCCCCAACTGTCCTGGCATCCATGCCATCCACCTGACCACTGCTGGAAGCAGGTTTGAGATCCCAATTCAAATCCATCGATCCCAATCTCAGGTCTTTCTGGTCTGGCAGAGACCCTCGCCGGGGAGCCAGAGAAAGCCCCATTTTTAGGTCATAGCCTTCAGCTGATGAGGGGGTACTTGGAGAGACTGCCTGAACAGGGCTGTCCAGGGAGGCCCCACCAACTGCTACTGCTCCTGGGGATAAATTTCCACCATTGAGGACAGGTGAGCCATCACCCCTGGCGGGGGAAAGGCTCCCTTCTCGGGATCCCGATGGGGTCTGCCTCGGTGCCCTGGGGCGTAAGGTTCCCCAGCGACCATTGACACAAGGCGCTTCATCCATATTCCTTACTGGAGACTGGGAGCGGTACTCTCGGGTTTCAGGCACCAGAGCCGGAGGAGTGGCGCTGATGGGAGACGGGCGGGAGTTCAGACTTGGGCTGAGGGGCGCTCTTCCACTGGGAGCCTGGCTGAAAACCACCACACACTGGCCCACCTGAAAGACAAAGAAATACCGCTCAACTCTGCTACTGCACCCAACAGAATAATGGACTGAATCTCCTTAGAGGAAATTTAACACGAATAAATGTGAGGTTCTACAGGACTTTAAAAAAACAACCAACCAACAAGCGGCAGAAGGAGAGGATGGGGAGTTAGTGCTTTCTGCACCTCTCCTGCCTAAAGGCCGGGAAACAGGGAACCTCATCAGAGGCTACAACCACAGCTCAGGTGAAACCTACGTGGAAATTTTGATAACTACAAGCCCAAGTCAAGAGGCTGCCCCAGACAGTGTCCAGAACAGGGCAAGGGGCCTTCCAGTGTCTTCTGTCCTGATTAGACTGCATCATCAATATCGTGCAGAGTTCTGGGCACCACAAGGGAGAACTGGACTAGATGACCATGGGCCCCAGACTATGTCATAGGAGGACTCGTTGAAAGAACTGGGGATATGTAGCTTAGAGAAGAGAGACACGATCACTGTCTTTAACTACTTGGAAATTAATGGAAGGTGGATTATTAGACAAGTTCTGCTTGGCTTACACGTCAGAATGAAGAGCAGGAAGGGGAGGTTTCAGAGAAAGATTTAGCCTTGACAGATGGAAACATTCCCTAGAGCTTTCCACAAGTTAAACAGGCTGCCTCAGAATGCAGTGGATTCATCCGGCATTGGTTAAAAATAGACAAGTATCGCAATGGAAGAGAGTAGACACAGGAGAACCAGAAACAACTAAATTCAATAAACTGGTGTCCAATAAACTGGGAAACATAACATACTTAGGAAAGAACTCCCTATTTGATAAAAACTGTTGGAAAAACTGAAAAGCAGTGTGGCACAAATAAGGCTTAGACCACAATCTATGATAAACAAAAAACATACCCAACTTTAATTAAAAAAATCATACCAATCAAAAAATTAAAAGAGAAGCAGGTCTTGTACCTTTGGCAGCTATGGATAGGAGATATATTCTTACCCAAACAAAGGACAGAGGCGATTACAAAAGACAAAATAGATGACTTCAATTACATGAAGCTGAGAAGCTTCTACACAAACAAATAATGTATCTAGGATGAGAAGGAAAGAAGTCAAATGCGGGAGAAAAATCTTGTATCAAATTTATTAGATACAGTTCGGTATCCTAGATAAAGAAACAACTAACATACCTATGAAAGACTTAAAGTCATTCCCCAATAGTCAAAGGATACAAACAGTTCTAAAAAGAATTTCAAACTCTTTAACAACCAGGTGAAAACAGAATCACCACTAATAAGGGAAACGAAAACTGAAACAACCTTGAGGCTTCACCTCAGACCCAGTGAGCCGGCAAAGATGAGAAAAGGCGGGAACAGTCAAACTGAAGGGCTGTGGGAAGACAGGCACGCCGGTGCACTGCTGGTGGGGGTGCGAATAAGCACTACTAGCTCCAGTGGAAAGAATGTGCAGTGGCGCAAATGCAGTGACTGAACGCCCGCGCCCCTCGACTCAGATTCTGCTACTAGGCATGGACTCCAAGGAAGTCACTGAGAAGAAGTTCCCACGCACGCCAGGAATATTTACGGTGGCACTTTTTGTGGTGGCAAAGAACTGGGTAATAAAGTAGATGCCCTCAGATCAGAGAATGGCTAAAAACGGTGGTAATGAATGACCTGGAAAATCCTGTGCTTGAGAAACGACAAACACAGACAAGTATGAAAAGTGTTACATGGAGTGATGTTGAGTAACGTCAGCAGAGCCAAGAAAACACTACATATGATCACAACAACGTAAAGGGAAAGGACCATCACAAAAAAAACCCCACCCACCCACCAAAAGTGAATGTTGCAAAACTATAAACAACAAAAAAGAGAGAAGCCAAAGATCGGAGATGAGAGGACACCTCCAGTCTACTCCTCTGTAGAGCGGAAGGGCCGTTAAGGGTGGAACACTCCATGTATTTTCCCACTTTTTCAGTGTGTTGATTAGTTTTGCTGACTTTTTTCATTTTCCTTTTTTTGCTCCATTACAAACATTCTTTGTAATTGGCATAGCTCTGCGGGGGGGGAAGGAGAAGGAATACCTGGAGAAATCATGGTGATATAAAAAACAAAAAGCATCAATGAACAACAATTTCAAAGCAGGCAGTGGGCTCCTCTTCACCGGAGGCATTCACGCAGAAGCTGAGTCGGCACTGGTGTCCGTCCTTGGCTCCTGAAGGGAACCACGACGCCAGGGAGGCGACGCCACGACTCGCGAGTGAACTGGACCGGAGTGACGCGGGGCTGTGCAAGGCACCAGCCTCACTCTCTCCTCCGGAGCTGGCTGGGTCCAGTGGCCAGATATAGAACGGGACGACTGCAGATGGCCCCCATTACCACTTGCAGGGATACTGCAGAAAAGAGTCTTGCCGGCTGTGGGTTAGGCCAGGATGACTCTGAGCTTCTATGGTACTGCACTTAGGAAATACACGCTCTTCCACGAGTCAGAGTCAGCGTGCGCTCTCTAAAATACCGTTAGGATGAAATCAAAGCAGCGCTGATGGGAGAGCTGCTGCAGGGCTAGGGTGAGTGCCCTTCTACTTACCCAGAAACAGAGAAAGGCCACCAGACCACCTTGGCATGCTGAGAAAACTCGCTCCTCACACAGACCTCCTCTAACACCTTAGCTTTTCAGCTAACGTGGACATCTATGCCAACTCTCCCCCTGAACATGCTGGTCCCTTCCCAGACTTACCCGGCAGGCTGGGTGACACCACAACTCTGGGGCTCCATGGTCTTCATTCTCCACCCTGAGAGGCTGCCAGGTCCAGGGGCTGGAGTGCATGTGCAGTAACCAAGCATCTTTAAACAGCTGTAAGGAAAAACCCAGACATGACTGAAGCTCAGGCTCGATGTGCGATATTTCATGAAGAGGCACACTGCCCAGAGGTTGTCAGGGACATAGGGCTATGGGACTGGTCTTACAAAGAATCGACAAATTCTAGGTCAAACCTACCTAGTTTATCACTTATGAACCAAAGATGATCAAAATTTCAAGTCTTGCCAATTTAACAAACATTTACAAAATCCCTACTGCGTACAAAATGCTGCCAATACAAGGTATTTGTGAAACAAAGGGGAAAAAAGTCTCAAGTACAGGAAAAAAGAGTCAGCCACTCGAGTTTTGACTAAAGTTCCCATTAACATCTACTCTTATTTCTTAGTACATTCTGTAATTACAGGCGTCCCTGAGAGATGCAGTTAAGAGCTGTTCTGTGGGGCAATGAGATATAGAAAATCTATCTTGCCCTACAGGAAAATAGAAGAGGAAAAGGATAAGAGAAGCTGGTGGGGGGGGGGTCTAGAAGGGAGGGCAGATTAGGGGAAGGGACAAGATGGGGAGAAAATCTGAAACTCAAAATCTTGTGGAAGTGAATGCTGAAAACCACAAATAAATAAATTAATGAATCTTTAAATAAAAAAGCTGTCCTGTGAGCCAGGAGAGGAGCTTCGCCCAAGGCCCCACGTCTCCTGTCAGGGCCAGGATGACGATCCCAGCATCTCCTACATTCCGTGCTCTATCAGCAGTCAGTGAAGCCCCAAAGGAACGATCACTAGCAGCTTTCCCTAAGGAAGTGAAACAAAGGAACATCGCAGACCAAAGGAAAGTAAGGACAAAGTTCTCCCAGGGGCTTGGGTACTAAGAAGCATGGTTCCAAACCATTCTTAGGCAGCATTCTTTGTACTTACTGCATTCGGGCCACCACATCCTCCAAGGATCAGGATAGTTTCATCATCTATGACAATCTGGAAGGTGGGAAGAGAAGAAATTTAAAATAATCTTATAAACACACAATTATCTGCCTTATGCCTTGGTGGTATGTACTTAACACCCAAACCACTCCCAAAACAGAAAATTGTACCACTCTGGTTGCTAATATCCCCTAAAGTTCCCCATAATTATGAAAACTCTAGTTACTTAATGTAAACAAATTACTGGTGATTCACTTGATAACAGAATTCCAGAACCTCAAAACTGGAAGGGCCTCAGAGGCCCTCTTAATTACCAGGTTAATTAAAAGAAAGGAATCTGCTCTACCGTGTCCCTGACAAGGTCACTCAACCGTTGTTCAAAAAGTCCACGGAAGGGAAATTAGGAAATTAGTGAAATTTAAGTGAAATATGCCTCCTTACAACCTTTTTTTTTTTGGTTGGTCATATATTAAAATAGAAGTGCAGGTCACACAAAAAGAACCATCTCTTGCCAAAAGTAATAAGTGAACCAACACAAGGCTTTAGAAGAAGCAAAATCAACACCAACTATAAATAAGCAATATCCTTTAGGAGCTAGAAATTTAATGCAAGCAAAAGGGAACAGTAAACTCTCCTCAGCTGAGGGCATATTATAATTGTGTGGTAGCTGCTTTGAGATCCCTTTCCCCTCCCTGTGACGTCCTCCACCCTTGCTCCCAACTAAAATATGCTGTGGAATCTGAAGAATAATTGTAACTACTAGGTACCTGAGACTGGCCACCTCGAGGGTGAGGGCTGGGGCCAGAGACATTAGGCTTGGACCAGGCCCACTGCTCGAGGTCGAGGACCCAAACATCATTGCTCCTAAAAGATAAGAACACAATCACAAAGCTGATTATACAAGGCCATGCAGAGTCCTTCGTCACTAGCTAGAAGAATGAGCAGGACCAACATCCCTGAGCAAGCCTGTTACACAAGTGAGCATCTCTGCCGAGCACAGAATGCTAGAGCTAAAAAAGTGGTTAGAGAACACACGTGCAATGCCCATGTGTTTCAGAGGTGGAAAAGGAGGCTACAAGGAATGGCATTCTTTCTGGAGTCACTCAGCCAGTAAGTAGCAGAGGCAAGACCAGGCCCTTGGCCTGTCGGCCTCCAATTCAGCACTCTCTCCATGACATGAAACCGCCTCTTTCTGGGACAAGATCTATTCACTAACTAATACACAAAGAAACTTATCCAAGAGCAGGGTAAACGATGATTCTCCATAAGAAGCTTTTGAAAGAGCCCAAACCATTTCTTTTCAAGGTAAAGGCCAGAAGAAAGAAAATGAAAACAGCCAAACACCAGGCCCCATCTCCTTCTAGGAGCTCTTAGGACTCAATGACTTCTTCCTTAAGGGGGAAAAAAGGACAATTTCACAAAGACTAAGGAAGGCCAGACGGGTACATGGCAGATGAATACCTCAACAGAATGCTCTGGCATCAAACCTTCACACGAACAAGGGAGTAAAGACTGGCTTACTACAAGCAGCAATTTCCACTTTACTATGAATAATCACCTCTAGAGTATCCTGCTTCTTGAATTCAGAGGATGAGAGAATTAGAGCTAGAAGGAATTTTAGGGGACATCTATCCTAACCCTCTTGTTTTACTGATGAGGAAACTGTGGTCCAGAGATGCTTTAAGTGACTTGCCCAAGGTCACACCAGTAGCCAGTAGCAGGGCTAAAATTTGAACTCAAGTCCTCTGACTCCAAACTCTCCATTGCATCATACTATCTTCCTCATTTTAATGTAAAATAACTTGCAATAAATTAAAATGACTTCCTTTCATATATAAGGATGAACTGAATGACTTCTCCCTAGGTTGGCTCAACATGTAAAGATGGGAATGCGCCTGCCTTGGGTGACATTTCTAGCTGGCACCGGGTCACAGTAAGAGGAGGGAGAGCCCTTTCTAGAATGGTTTCACTCCTGGAAATGTCACAACAGAACACCAAGTAGAGTTGTTGAAGCGCTCCTGGAGTTGACAGTCACTGGCATAAATAATGACGCAACTGGATTTCACTGTCCCTTGGTCCTAGACCAGGGCTGAGGAACCTGCAGCCTCAAGGCCACATATGGCCCTCTAGGTAGTCAAGTGAGCCCTCTGACTGAATCCAAACTTCACAGAACAAATCCCCTTAAAAATTCTGTAAAACCTGTACTCAGTCAAGAGGCTGCAGCCAAAGTGGCCTCCAGGCCGCAGGTTCCCCACCCCTGTCCTAGACTATGTCCTACACACAGTAATAGGGAAGAGGAAACACAGGAAGCTTTGATAAAGATGACTGACACTGCTCTTGCTCCCTTTTTCCATCTTCTCCTTTCCAATCAGCCTCTTCAATGTGGATCATCAGCCATGTGCCCACCTATTCTTATAAGTCCTATTCAAGCTCTACCCATCTCCATGAAGCCTCCCCAGCTCCACTTAGGTGACAAAACTGAACCTTACAAAGAAAGTCATGGATTTAATTACAATACATAAGAGGAGGAGATGACACCTAGGGCTGTGTCTTATCCTAGTACCCCTATGCCCCCCAGGAGACCCTATCCTATCAAGACTGTGCTCCTCCCCCAGCGCTAAGCACAGTGCTCTCTCTAACACCACATGCCCTTAGTAAATGAACTGAACTGTCCATAATCTCTGCCCTATGGCACAAACTCAGAGGGACCTTGGAGATGACTGAGGTCAACCTCCTCTTTTTACAGCAGAGGATATTGGGCCTCAGAGAAGGACATGCCCTGGCAAGAGCTGCACAGCTACTAAATGAACTGGGGTCCATTCTTCCTGATCCCAAGAGCAGCGCTCTGTGCGCTGGACCACCTCACTGCCTCAACACCCAAAGCTGAGATCAGATGTGCTTCTGATGGCCACGTGCTTTCAGAACAGTGCCAAGAGAAGACTCCCAGGACGGATCACTCTGACTGACAAAACAAGCCGTCCACACTCACATTTGCCGGGATCCTAAGGAACCACCAAAGACGATCATTTTGTCCTCTATCACACAGGAGGAGTGGCCTGCCATAGGTGGTGGTCCATGCGTTGTTACTATGCAATTCCACCTATGGAAAGATGACAGAAAGGAATCAGGAGGTCTAAGTTTAAATGCCAGAAGCCCTTCATCCTGCTAGCAGACGACCCGCTTCCCAACTCTGCGCTGCCACATTCCTTAAAACTAAATCTAAATTCTTATTGTAGGTAGTCCATACAGCGACCAATGCCTTCCAAACAGTTTGCTGAATGAGTCTTACAATGGACAAAGAGCAACTTCTCCTCGATGAGCAATCACACACTTAACAAGCACTCCTGTGCTCAGTGTTTGTTTCATTACGGAAAAAGGAGATTGCTTTCATCTGGTAAGTAAAAAATTTTCAAGCTGTTAGGAGTCTGGAAAAATACAGGCGGGGATAAGGACTCATTTGTTTTGCAAACTGCTGGATTCTCAAGGCACAAGCGCATTCTAAGAATAACAGCAGCCAAGGTCTCAGGACACCAACAGGGTTCTCTCATCACTTATTTCAGTACTAGAGGTAGCAATCACTCCTACTTTTTCATTATGAGAAATTTCTATTAATCTCAAGTATGTGGCAAGTATGTGGGCCGTTTTTTTTTTTAGTTTTACTGTTTTGTTTTTATATCATCTTCATTTATGAATATACCTCTTTCCCTCCCCAGCAAGCTAATCTTTATAACACAGAATTTTAAAAAGAGGGGGTGGGGTAAGTTCACAAAACTAAGTAACCTATCAGCTGACAATTCAATGCAATGTTCCCCACCCACAGCCTTCGACCTGTACCAAGAAGGGGGTGAATCTCATCCTTTCTTTGGGGAAGCATCAGTTGTGCTTTTAGTCTGGACATGCACACAGCTGCACTCATTATGTCTACTGTTTTCCTGATGCTGGCTGTTTTACTGCATCAGTTCATGTAAGTATTCCCAAGCCCCTCTGATTTCTTCATATTCATAATTTCTTATGATAAAGTAATATTCCATTAATTCAAGAGCCAAAATTTGTTTAGCCCTTCCTCATTGCTAAAGCTTTCAGAGGAACAGGTTCCTGACCTGCAATCAAAGGCTCTCCCCTCTGTAATCCTTACCAATTTTTAGAGGGTGAGTAAGTGTGTATTTCATCAAAGAACCTCTCAGGTTGGTGCAGAGGATAAGGGCTCGGCCGTGTCCAGCCCCCAAACAACACAAGCAAGTCCTTGTATACCACTAGAGTAGCTCCAGCTTTAGGGGAGGGATAAGAACCTAGAAGGAGTCAAAAACAGCATGGTTAGAGAATGCTCTCTTCTCATAATCAGTGCGCAAGCTTTTCACCGATCATCTTGCCCATGAGAGAGAAAAATAGAACTTATACCAAAAAGCCCAGAAAACAGGAAGATGAAACTGAGTTTTGAAGTGCCAAGAGATAATCAAACTGCATATCTTCATAATTACCCAAAGCTTGAAAGCAGATCTCATTTGTGGGCAAAACATCTGTCAGTCGGTGATAGGAAATTACCAGCTTTCTAACACAGCCCTCAAAATTACTGCTTTGGTACTAAGTAAAAAACAGTAATTACCTCAAAACATCTAGTAACTTTTTGTCTACCGAGGTCAGAGTTAAAATGCTAATACGACTAGCCTTGTTCACATCAAAATGAGTTGGAAACATAGAAAGTAAACATATTGCATACTTTATTTTCAAGAAATAGAAAATATTTAAGTATATTGTCATGTTCTGTTATGGAATAATGATGATAAGAGGGAATGTGATAGGTATCGAGCATGGAACGCAGACCAGGGATACTTATATCTTGCATGGTTCAAGGCCACTGCCCAACCTAAAATAAGGGAGAAATTTGTGCAAATTGCTTCAAAAATCAATGTTAATACCAAGCTATGAACCTTTAGTTATAACCTGTAAACAGAGGTACCTGCTGTGGGCTCAGGACAAATCTTCAAGGATTCCTAATGACTCCCTGGTCTCAGGACTCGGAGATGAAGTAGGTTCTCTTCATTTGTAATTGACCTATTTCTTACTGTGGTATTCCCAACAAGTGCCAAAATGATTAGAAATCTACACAGTTTCCCCAAACTCTTGGTATAATGACTATTCCTTAAAAACAAAATCTTGCTGGGTTTTTCTCCTTGCAATAATTATCTAGGTTTGATCTTTGTTTTTTTGTTTGTTTGCTTGTTTGTTTGTTTAGGCAATTGGGGTTAAGTGACTTGCCCAGGGTCACACAGCTAGTAAGTGTCAAGTGTTTGGTCTGAGGCCGATTTGAACTCAGGTCCTCCTGACTTCAGGGCCGGTGCTCTATCCACTGTGCCACCTAGCTGCCCCTAGGTTTGATCTTTGCAAGAAGTAACAAGGAAAGCAATACTCTCTAAGCCAGAGGTGTCAAACTCCAGAAGTCAGAAACAGATTAAAATATAACTGGGAAACATTTAACAAAATAAATAAACATAAAACACAACACAGATAATGCTAATTTGTGGTTTCTGAAGTCACTATGGAGCCTGCAAGTCCTATTTGAGTCTGACACCACTGATCTAAACCATTTCTTAGTTTGTTCATGATATAAGTGCCTAATTTGCCATAACTGTCAAGAATCCTCTAAATCAATACTTCAATTAAATTGTCTCCAAAGAATCAGATGACCGTGGAAAATGGGGAAGAAGGGAGGTAGGAAGGGGACATCCTTCTCACTACACATTCCAAGAGAAGCAACCTTTCTCAGGAACTGTGAATGTGACAGGACGTGGGATGATTCATTTCTAAAACATTAAAGGAAATACGTACAAAAGCAATGTGAACTAAATTTAATTAGATAGAATCTGGGTAGTTCTGACATTCCCCAGCTTTCGGTGACCTTGCTCCAATCTGTTTTTCTTAGTAACATTTGGAGATTAAATACACTTTTTCCCTCAAACTAGGACTGTCCAGTTACATTCTGGACTCTCTGTACAAAGACTGCTAAAGTGACTTGCAAACTGAAGCTGGTCATATAATAACCAACATGTGGCAATCTCAATAATCCACTTTTGGGATGAGGCTTTCCTCAAAACAAAACCTTTTTCTGAAGAAGGTAAGGTAGGTGATTGTTCTACCTAGTCACCTCAACCCCAAAACAGCAATAATCTCAAACACGTTGCATCTCCATCTTCTAGTACTGCAAGAGCAGAATCACAGCAACTCTGACTTTACAGTCTTATTTCACCTTATCCCGAGCCCTTCTCTGATCTGCCATCAGGGCATCAAAGTTCTCTTAAATCGTCTAAGTCTATGCTGGTCAAGCACCAGCTCTGGCAGACTGTGTAAAACCAGAAAATGTCCTCGTATTTTCTGTTATCTCAACACCAGCCTAGGTTTGAGAGGCTTATCACCTTGTTGATCACAGAATGAGTCTATTGGCAACCTCAACTGTTAAAAAAGGTTTTCTGCCTGAACATCATAAAGGGCCTGTGATCTGCATTAGCAGAGAATGCCTGGCCCAACATTTTTTAGATCAGAGCAGTTGGCATACGTAACTTTCAGTGCAGAAATTCCCTCTACCAATGTCAAATCAGCTCTTCTCAATTCTAAAGCTGCCTCTCACCCTGAACTCAGGACCAAGGAAATGTATAATATGGAGCATTTCCCACAACTGATCTGGCAACCACAGGACAATAAGAATATAGAAGATGCATCTTATTTCATACAATAGATAAAAAATGACAGTGAGGGTTGGGTTTTTTTAAATTGTCATTTTAAATGCTTGTTAAAGGAATCTTATTATGAATTATGAATCACTAGCCCCCTAAAGGATTACTTGTAAAAATGTGACTTTTCTCAGTGTTTGTTTAAAGCAAAGCAGACATGAGTAATAGATTTCAAGGTAGAAGCTCAAAGATGACCATGTCCTAGTTGCTCTACACATTGTTACAATGTCTACAATTTAATAATGTCTTCAGAGGGACAACAACCCACAGCGTAACTGAGTTAGGATCTCCACTAGCAGAGTAGTGCTACTATCAATGATGTGATGGATTCACATGGATTCAAGTAAATTGTACCTAAAATCAAGAGACCCACTAATTGTGTCAGGAAACAAAAATCTTCTCAATTAGGGTTTTGAGAAATGCAAAGAATAATATCTACAACTACATAACAACAACAACCATAACAAAGCATTTATTAAGTACTTACTGTATGCCAGGCACTATGGTAAGCACTGGGGATGCAAAGAAAGGGGGGACATGGCCTCTGCCTTCAAGAGGTTCATATTCTAGTGGTGGAGACAACATACAAACAACTATATGCATACAAGTCATTTATAACATAAATGTGAGCTGATTTCTGGGCAAAGGCACTGGTAGGGAGGGATGGGAAAGGGGAACAGATGGCCGGGAAAAACCCCATTGTAAAAGGTAGGATTTTTGGTCTTGAAGGAAGTTAGGGAAGCCCAGGGTTGGGAGATGGAGCATCACGTGCCAAGAACAGCAAGAAAGCCAACAGCGCTGGCCACAAAGAGTGGGGAGGGGAGTAGGCAAAGTCTAAGAAGGCTCCTAAAGAGCCTTGAAAGTCAGACAGAAGACTGCAGGGAGCCACTGGAATTGACTGATTTGGGGGAAGTGAGGGGACTGTGGTTAGAATGGCAGTTTAGGCAGATTGTTTTGGCAACTGAATGGAAGACAGCTTAGAGTGGGAAGAGACTTGAAGCTGGAAACCATGGAGGAGGCTTCTGCAAGTCTCAGATGTCAGGTGACTAGGACTTAGCCCGGGGTGGCAATAGCGGGAGTGGAGAAAAGGGGACAACGATGTGAGACGCTGTGGAGGGAGAAATGACAAGACTAGGCAACAGACTGGACACATGGGGAGTGCGAGGAGAGACAAGGGCAGCGCTCAGGTTGTGAACCTAGATGGCTGGGACAAGAGTAACTGGAAAATTGGAAGAAGAGGGTTTGAGGAAAAAGATACTTAGTTCTGTTTCAAAGGTGCTGAGTTTGAAATGTCTACAGGACATCCAGTCTGAGATGGTCAAAACCAGCTGGTGATTCAAGCTTGGAAGTCAGGAGAGAGATTAGGGGCTGGATTAACAGACCTGAGACTCATCTGATGCTAGTTAGTATTTATATGGCTCTGTTTTACACACTAATTCCTTTGATCTTCACAGTCATCCTGTGAGGTAGGTGCTATAATAATCTCTATTTTACAGAAGAAACAGCCACACAGAGGTCTAGTGACTTGCCGAGGGTCACACCGCCACTAAGTGTATGAGGCTAGACTGGAACGCGGGTCTTCTTGTCACCAGGACTATCTAACTGCCTACCTCTTGAGATGATAACTGAGTCCGTGACAACTAAGAAGATCATCAAGTGAGACCCTACAGAAGGAGAAGGAACAAGAGCCTCGCAGAGCCCTGGGGGGACACCCATGGGCAGTGAATGTGACCGGGCTGATGTCTGCTGTTCAGTCATTTCCAGCTGCGTCTAACTCTTCACAGCCCCACTGAGGTTTTCTTGGCAGAGATACTGGAGTGGTTTGCCATTTCTGTCTCCAGCTTATTCTGCAGATGAGGAAACTGAGGCCATCAGGGATGGGTGATTTTATAATGAAGAAATAGCAAAGGAGACTAAGAAGGAGTCATCACACAGGCAGGAAGACAATCAGAAGAGAGCAGAGCCACACAGATCGAGCTAGAGAGGAAACGGTATCCAGGAGACAGACCTCTCTTGACAGGTCAAGAAAGATAAGGACTGAGGCTTAATTTGGCAATTAAGAGATTATTCATAACTCTGGAGAGAACATTTTCAGTTTAATGATGAGATCAGAAGCCAGACCTCAAAGGATGTAGAAGAGAGGAAGAGGAGGCACCAACAGTAGACATCTTTGTAAAAGAGTTCATCCACAAAAGGGAGCAAAGGTATAGAACAAGAGTTAGCAGGAAGGGTTGGAGTGAGGGCTTTCTTTTTTTTAAGGATGAGGGAAGACAAACAGTGCTTGTAGACCAAAGGGAAGCAGTCAGTGGGAGGGCAACACTAAATGTTAGTGAGAGAATGGCTGTTGTCCTTCATTCTCGAAGAGGACAGAATGACATCATTAAATTAGAGTCAAGTGACAATGCGTCTGACTGTGGCTGATCAGACCGATATGAGCTCAGAATGCTCTGACACAGATTGAGCACAAATACTCCATGTGAAGGTTTGGGATGGTTTCTCTACATGTGGCATCTCGCGTTTCTTTTGAGCTAAAAGCACAGCCCCTTCTCTGAAGAGGGCACACC